GATGCATCACCAATCGAAATCCTAATCTCCAAAAGCAATGACGTGAAAACCCCAAAATCGAAATCCTAATACCCAAAATCGAAATCCTAATACCCAAAATCGAAACCCCAAATCGAAATCCTAATACCCCAATCGAAACCCCAAATCGAAATCCTAATACCCCAATCTCCAAAAGCAATGACGTGAAAACCCCTGCGTCACCGAAATCGATTTGAAGTATGTGCGAAAGACAAGTGGAGGTGAAACCTGTAAACCTGGAGGTGAGTGGCGATGGGAAAAAGAGGCGACAGCGTTGGATGGCAGTGGTGGGCGGAGGAGATCGATGGTTGGTGGTGAACATAGGCAAAGATCGATGGAGAAGAAGGGAGGTGAAACTTGTAAACCTGGAGGTGAGTGGCGATGGGAAAAAGAGGCGACAGCGTTGGATGGCAGTGGTGGGCGGAGGAGATCGATGGTTGGTGGTGAACACAGGCAAGGATCGATGGAGAAGAAGGGTAGGGCAAGTCTTTTGGCCGGCTTAATCTGGACAAGTGTCTTTTTTCATCTGGGCGAATAAGCCCATTTCTGAGCGATTAAGCTCAAAGTAAACAGTCTTGAGCGTTTGTGCGAATAAGCCAATTTATCCACTAAGCTCATTAAGCCATAAGTAAACAGGCCCTTAGTGTTAGAATTGGTTACTCAGGCTTCCAGAACATGTTGCAACGAACTCAACATTTAATGAAAAAAACAACCAACATGCAACTTTGTGCATTTAAAGTTACAGGTCTGTCAAAACAGTCAGCAAACTCATATAAGAAAGTTTAAGGCTCGTGTAAATAAGAAAGTAAAGTTACGGTTTTGTGATATAATTATGAATATAGCTAACTACGAGTTGATTTAGTATCTAATGTACATATATTAACAATCATATTAAATCTATGGTAATATAATATAGAAAGAATCGAATTCATCGACTTGGGTTGTGTTTAAATGGTTGTAATCTAATACCTATGATTTGAAGATTTTACAACTCGATTAGGTATCTATTGATTTATGATGAATTGGGTTAATCGAGTTATTGAGACTTCACCATGTTTTGGTAATTTGGATAATAGGGTTTATCCAAGTTTCATATTTGAGCATTGAACCTTGTTCACGTTTTGTGTGAGTTTTGGCGTTTAAATTTATATTCGATTGGGTATTTTGATTAAGAGCTTTCACGTTTTGAAAATGGTAGATTTTTTGGAAAGATGTTGCTTTTACATTAAAGACATTTCATTTGAGAAATTATATTTAATAATCAGTCTTTCAGTTTTATTGTTATATATATACCCATGATGAAAACTGTTTGAACTCACTAGGCGTTAAGTTTAACATTTTTATTTGTCGGCATGTGCATCAGGTCCTCGTTGGTGTTTGATACTAGCGACACTGCGATGAGTTGAGTGCTAGATAAATGCACGAGAAGAATTTAACTATTCGCTGACGTCTTCTGCATATGGAGTTAACGACCATTATTGGGTTTTAGTAATACACTTTTGTAAGGAAAACTTTATCAATTGTTGATATTAAATCTAGACTTGATAGTCGAGTTAAATTAAGTATTGATTTTTAGTAAGGGATTTATCCTTTATTTGTTATAGTATGAAAAATTTTAAACTAGTCGTTCTTTCCAGATTTGAGGGTGTTACACATCTCTTAATATATGTTATGTAATTATTAGCCGTATTTGTATGTTCTTATATAGATTCTACTTTGTCAAACACAATTGTTTGGCTAGATTATAAAATAATGTACCACAAAACCCGACCAACCCAACTCGCACGCTGTAGGTTGGTTTCGGTTCTACTTTTATTTGGTTGGATTGGGCTGAGATTCTTCAAACCGCAATCATTGAGTTGTGTGTCCAAATGCCTTAAATCAGGCCAACCCAACTCGTATACAACCATATCTAAATCTCACATGATCGTTATCCTTAAACACGTTCAAACCAAAGACATTGTCATCATCATCCCTAACCTCGATAACACATAAATCTTTCCTCATCCTCAAACACGTTCAAACATCTCATTTTTGGTTGAAAGTCTTAAAAATAACTTTTTAACCATTTTAATAACGTTAACTAATTACAAATTATTTAAACTTCAAGTGTATAAATTAGTAGAACTTAGTAATATCTCTTCTTGTATATCTACATCTCACACGATCCTCGTCTTTAAACACATCCAATCAAAGACGTTGTCATCCTCATCCCTAACGTCAAAAACACAAAAATCATTCCTCGCCCTCAAATATGTGCAAATCATTAGAGACGTCATCCTCATGACTAACCTCGATTACACGTAAATCTTTACTCATCATCATCCTACGATACAACTATCAGCGCATCATGTATAAAATAATGATGCATACAAAAAAAATCAGATTTTATAATATTCGTATTTTATCGCTTTCGTAAACAACAAAAATGAAGCTTAAAGGGTTTCCCAACTTATATTAATATTCCTAAATGAACTGATAAGTATGAAAACCCATATTAACCCGTCAAAAAACAACAATATACTTTTTTTTTTCAAAATTAAAACGAATTACTTATTTATTAAATTCAAGTTTTGTACCATAAACTAGACTTCTTGATTCGAGGTACCAAAATTTCAATCGTCTTTTGTTGGTTTTCAAATTTCAGTTTTAGTTGAAATGTTGAATATCGATTATCTTTAGTTGGTTTTTAAATTTTATATTATGTTAAATTGTTAATTCAAGTTCGAGTCTAGTCACTAAATTTTTTTATATCCACAGGAACAACCGTGTTAATTTTTAGGGTAGAAGTACATCCAGGTAGGGGTATAAATGAATTGAGTTTTTAACAATCTACTCGAGTTCGAACTCGATATATAGTAATTCTCGAGCTCCTTCAATAAGATTTTGTTTCTTTTACCCGTTTTCATCATTGTTGTAAAAGGCATGATCAAACTCCATATTCAAGTGTTAACGGACCAATTGGTCTTCTGGACCTACTTAGATTGTTCATATAATCAATATTTTGTTTTGAATTTGAAAAATGATCCAGAATTCAAACCCAATAAATGAGTAATAGATTTTGAATCCATAAACAAACTTATAAAATTTGAACATTGAAAAAAATAAACAAGCATCAAGCTCGATCAAGCATTAAAAAAATGACTGAGCTCGAACTTAAGCACTGTTTTAAAAATAAAATATTTGAACTCGAGTCTGATATTATTTTATCGAGATGAGTCCAACAACATGGTACTCTACTCGATTCGACTCATTTACACACCTACATCCAGGGGTCATGTGTTATCGCTCACCTGATTAATTGCAATAGGAAAAAAAAAGAGGGGAATGAAAGGTGCACCCATTTAATTTTGAGGAGTGATCTAGAATATTTGAAAATACAAGGGTGTGGTTCAACAATTAGAAAGTTAATGAACCAAATTAAATATTTTAATAAAATAGCTCAACAAATATTTCCTTATCTATCTACTTTTTAATGGATCGAGATAATCGTTTGTTAAAAAAGGTACGGAGTACAGGTCTACGAGACGTGATTCATTATGTTTTATTCTCCAAGATTTCAATAGTTTTCATCTTAAAAGCATAAAACGGTAAAACCCTCTTACCCTTTAGTACCATGCAGATCTGCCCATTCGCCAACCGTCAGTCTCCTTGACTCCGCCCCATCCTTATCTCTCTCTGACTCGAGCACTCAACCTCTCTCACAGTCTCAGGCTCTCGGGTTTTGTCCCAAAACCTCAAAATTGTAGATTTTCCTTAAGTTTTATAATTGGCTATTTGTCCCAAATCAGTTTTGTTTTGTTTGTATTTTGTAATTTGTTTTTAGTAGTGATCTGATCATTGTTACTCGATTGATTGATTTGCACTAAATTTTGTAGGTTGTAGCTTTGCCTAAATTGATTTTCTTTGTCTTTTGTAATATGTTTACTATTATTGGTTTGATAATTGTTACTTCATCAGTTCATTATTGATTTACCCTTTTTGTCTTGATTAATCTCCATAAGTTTATATGGATAATTTTTGCTCTAAGTTCTAGATTTGTCTTAAATTGATATGATTTCATTACTGATTTATCTTATTTGCCCTAAATTTATTTGATTTCAATATTGATGGGTCTTTTGAAAGTTTTGAAAATATAAGGGTGCAATTGAGCATTTAGAAAGTTAAAAAACCAAATTAAATATTTTAATAAAACAAAAGAAGAAAGGAATACGGTTTTACGGGCGTGATTCATTTTGTTCTCTTCTCCAAGACTCCAATAAATTTATTCCTAAAAATCTAAAACAATAAAACCCTCTTGCTTGTCATCGTCCTATGCAACTGTTCTGGTCGTCAGCTATCTCTCTACGTGACTCTGATCCTGCTTATCTTTCTCAAACTCGGAGTGGACATCCCTCACAGCCTCACTCTCTCAGGTTTGGTCCCGAAACCTTAATTCAAGATTGTAGATTTGTCCTAAGTTGATTTGATCTGTATTTTGTGATCTGGTTACTATTATTGACTTGATTATTGTTACTTGATCGGTTCATTTTATTGATTTACGCTTATCGTCTTGATTAGCGTCCATAAGTTCATATGGATAAACTTTTTTTGCTCTAAATTTAGATTAGCCCTAAATTGATTCGGTTTTCATTGTGGATTTGTCTTATTTGCTCTAAATCGATTTGATTTCAATATTGAGGTGCTTTGAAAATTCTGAAAATACAAGGGTGCAATTGAACATTTAGAAAGTTAAGGGACCAAATCAAATATTTTAATGAAACAAAAAAGGGACGGGAGTAGAGGTCTAGTGATTCATTTTGTTCACATCTCCAAGACTCTAACAGATTCCATCCTAAAGCCTAAAACGGTAAAACCCTCCGATCCTTTAATCCAATACAAATGTGCTCGTCATCAGCTGCTGCTCTTGGTGACTCCATCCCCTGCTTATCTCTCTCAGACTCGGCCACTCAATCTCTCTCACTGTCTCACTCTTTCATATATTTACCTGAAACCTTAACTCAAAATTATGGATTTGCCATAAATCTTATATTTGACTATTTTTCCTAAATCTAATTTGGTTTATTTGTATTTTTATTTTAGTTATTGATTTGATTATTGTTTTGCCTTATTATTTGTAAATTATAGATTTTCCTTAAATTATTCGATTTGTATTTTGTAATATGTTTACTATTATTGATTTGATTATTGTTACTTCATCAGTTCATTTTATTTATTCTTATTATCTTGATTAGTGTCCATAAGTTGATATGGATAAATTTTTGCTCTAAATTATGGATTGCCCTAAATTGATTTGATTTCATTATTGATTTTCCTTGTTTGCCCTAAATTCTAGATTTGCCCTGAATCTATTAGTTTGATGTGAAGTTTCTTAGTGAATTTTAATTTGCTCAAACTCTATACCCTAGTTGTTGTCTTGTTGATGTTAATGGAAAATTTTACAAAAATCAGCCAAAAAAAAGTCACACGAAATGGTGGAATTTGGCTAAAAACAAATCAGGCTTATGCGGAAACGTAGTTTTGTGTATTGCTCAAGAGGTCGATTCCATTTGAAAAAATGGATTTTATCCAAAATCAACACAATTAACTTTTCTCGAGTCAAACTATGTTGACTTTTTCACCGGGTCAATCCATGACTTTGTGTGCCTTAGATCCACCTTGAAGGTGCACTCACTCAAACAAAATTCTTGGGGTCTGCCACTACATACATCTCGCCTAGGCTCTACCTTCTGGTGGGATATACTGGACTTGTGTGGTTTGATTATATATTTTTTGTCTTGATTATGACAGGTGGGAGGGTTGGGGGAGATTGAAAAATGTATCTCAAGGTAAAGTTGAATTGGAACGTGGTGATACCTGCTAGGAATCTTGACCTTAACGGGTTGATGTTGCAGAAGGCGATATTGGTTCGCCTTCTGGACACTTTTGCGGCCAAGAAAGCAACCAAGGATCTTGGATACCTTGTGGCTATAACCACTTTGGACAAAATTGGAGAAGGCAAGGTTCGAGAGCACTCAGGTGATGTGTTGTTTCCGGTTGAGTTCACATGCTTGAGCTTCAAGGTGTTTCGGGGAGAGGTGATAGAAGGGGTGGTACACAAGATTCTAAAGCATGGGATTTTCATGAGGTGTGGGCCCATCGAGTACCTTTATCTCTCGAACAAAAAAATGAGTGATTACCAATATCACTCTTTAGAAAACCCGTGTTTTTTGAACGAACAGACAGGTTCAAGAATCGTGAAGGATGCGAGTGTGCGGTGCATTGTGATTGGGGTCAAGTATATGGAGGCTCAGAAGGAGTTTCAAGCTGTCGTTGGCTTGGAAGGCGATTATTTGGGTCCTATTTAATTAATATCAATGATATATTTAGCATTAGTCGTTGGGTTTTGTGGTAATAAATGTATTAGCTTTTTTATGGCTAATAACTCATGTGGATCAACATTTTGATATATCCCTTGTTTCAGTTGAATTTGCATATTTCAATTTAAATTGGGAATTGTTTTGTGAACCATTACCTATTCTATGTGTGTTTTTGTCTTATTTCTTTTCCCTGTTTCAATGTATCTATATGTAACGGGGACTGTCTGGCTTCTTGTTTCATCTGATTACATAGAAATTATGTATATAAGGCGATTTGGTCTGACCGGTTTAGTCTTGTTATGTCATCATGTCTAGTCCGAAAGTGTTGTGGTATCATGCTTATGTGACTCAAATTGTAAACAACATTTCTTAGTTGATGTTTAATATCTACCTAGGCATCCTGTGGAACTATTCCCATTTTAACAAAGTGAAATTACCTATTGCCTTGACGTAGGTTTATGTTAAAATACAAGATGACTTAAAGTATGTGGCAATCAACTATGTTAACAGTCACCGGTGATAATGAATGCAACCAAATAGTATGTATCATATGATCCAATGATCTGAGGTACAAACCGAGTATGCTCGTTATATTTCTGTTATAGTTATCAGTATTGTAGTATTAATAATCTCTAATGATTTCAAAATTATTAGGCGAATCTGTTGCTTTACCCCTAGCTTGTTTAAACTAGTATAAAGAGTAGTGCTCACGCAAGCAGATGGGCTTATCTTGTATGTAGTTTATGACATTCTGCTGACATTGATTGCGAGTTTAAATTATGTCTCTTTTACAAAGCTTAGTAATGAACGAGTAATAACTTTTTCCATGGTTTTAGTTGATCTAAAGATTATTAATTTATTTGAGTTTACGATACTACAATCAAGGCCTTTTGATTTTGCTGGTCGAGTAGGAATTCTTTTGACTTTGTCAAACTCTACCTTTGCTTTCTTCTTTTGATTGGAATATATTTAAAAAGAAATACAGTTGTAATGGTGTCTTCTATTTGCAAATGAAAGAAAATGTGTAAAAAACTAAAATGCCAAAATAATATCAAAATGCAATGAGATTTGCTTTATTTCTTTTTATTATGTAACTATATTGATCAGTTATCAGTAGATCTAGTAACTATTGATGATGTGAATGTAAAATTGTCAACTTATATTATAATTCTTGATAACCAACTGACCTCGTACAGCCTGAAAACTTGTTTATCGGGCAAAATGGTTACATAATAGAAAAAATTAAGTGCTTGTAACACTAAAAGTGAAAAAAAAAAAGATTATCGTTACACTAAATAAAAATCGAGACAAGTTTCATTATAATTTACTCAATATAAAACCATAACACTTGATGTAACAAGATCTCCAAACATAAGAATCAATCGGATCCCCACATATCAGCATGGGACATGAACCTTTATTGATCAATGAAACTTTGGTATCTTTGAAAACCATTCTGGTCTAAAGTGAAGAAATGTGATTGAAGAAACCAAAAAAGGGTCTTGAATTGAGGAGTGAAAAAAGAGAATGTCACCCTAATAGGTGCAAGTAATCAAAGCATATTATAAAGGTTTCCAAGAACAACAACCATCATCATAGTCGTTCATTGCAGTATTTCATATAAACTTTTACAGTTTACAAGGTTGTCGGCATTCTTTTATGAACAACATTTGATTATGTTCTTAAAGTAATAACACACGGTACAAATCCATCATTCATCATACAACATATGCCTTTTAATGTTGCATACCCGTAGAAGTAAATAGTAAGAGATCAAACACTTTATATGATAATGTTGATTATACATGATATGATATGCTTATCGTTTCATTTTATTTGTACATTGTCACTTTGATGTTCCATCATGCACATGGCTATGAACCTTGAAGACACATGCTAAGGAGATAATTCCCATCAAGAAAGGGAAAGAGACCAAATTGTTTTATTGCACACAACATTTTTATTCAGCAGAATACACATCAAGAGTACTCCAAAACGATAAACACAATTTCAAAAGCTATTTTGTTATGTATATCATTTGATTTTGATGTAACGAGATTTTTTCAATATTATAAGTCGTAAATGAATACATCATTCTATTTTAAAACAAAATCGTGATGTATTCGAATACGTTTCTTATCTATAAAAAATGAATAGTCTTAATAATCATACTTAAGGATGACGACCACAGAGTTGAGATTATTTGATCAATTTGTGTACCTTATATTCCCTGTTATATTGTCCCATATTTTATCTTTAATCAACCTATTTTAATTTTAAAGTACGTTCATAATACATGGCTTTACACATAAGGTACGGTTTATAACTTTTGATCTATGTGAGCCTATCAAGTACCGTTGTGTGTATATATATATATATATATATATATACACACACATACATATAAGGTCAGGTTCATATCATCTGGACCGTATGCACATGCACATAAAAGTAATTTGCAAGCAATTTGTACGGTATGTACATATGCATAACATGCATACATGCATAAAATCAAAAAACAACTTCAATTACTTATATACACATGTGCATATAGTACAGATGAACATTTATCAAAGTGTTCCTTAGTTTTTTTTTTTTTTGAGGTTTCCCTCTGAACCTCTCTCTATAATTAATATACGTACACACACATATAGGAGAGATAAAATGCAAATTAAATCATTTGTACAAACCATGAAAACCATCGATTTCACTGTCTATTTTAGTGAATAAAAATTCATTAAATTGTTTAATATGATGAAATTATATCAAATAATTATTTATTTCTTGATGAAATTATTTCATATATTTTTGTTTTTATGTAAGAATTAAATTGTTTCATGTATTTCTTTTCTTGATGAAACTTGTTTACTAAAATTAATAATTTAAAATGATAACGTCCACAATTAACACCTTCAATAATAAAAATGACTAATCAACCCTCATAAAAAAATATTATGATTGGTTGAAAGAGGTTTTCACGGTTTATATAAATGGCTTGGCTTATCCCTCCCCCATATATATATATATATATATATATATCTGTGTGTGTGTGTGTGTAAAGGAACGATCAAATGCAAATCACCCTTATCTATCTATTTTATTGTTTAATTTAATGATTTTGTTTCATTAATTTGTTTAATATTATGAAATTGTTTCATATAATATTTTTCTAGATCAAGTTGTTTCATATATGGTTATGAAATTTTAATGAAATTGTTTCATGTATTTCTTTAAAATTAATATAATGAAGATGATAATATCAATGATTAACACATTAACACTCTCCACAATAAAAATAATTAATCAACCTCTCATAATTACAAAAAGATGAAAAAATTGAAATTTTTTGATTGGTTGAATGAGGTTTATACGGTCTGTAAAGTAAACCTCATATGTATATATAGATATAGAATAAGAAGTTTCAAATACAAGTTTTCTAATTAGTACAAACCATAGAAACTCAATATCAACCGTCTTTTCAGTTTAACAAATACATAATTCAATTAATATTTTGATTACTTTTTAATATAAAACGTTGATTCTAATAAATAAATTATGATAATATGATTTTATAAATATATTAATCAGTTGTTGAGTTTGTAAATGAGACATCTCTCCGTATATGTATATATTTTTTCATTAGTACTAATTAATTGTAACATAAGCATCACATATTTTAATTAATAATTAAATAATATATATATATATATATATATATTATCAAAATTAAAAGATTTAAAGAGTATTTATTATTATTATTTAGGTGGAGAAAAGAATTTATTATAATTGATGATCTAAAATAGTGTAAGGAGGGGACAAGAAGGGTGAGTAAAATTCCAAGTGGCAATCAGGTGGGTCCCACTTTCACGAGGTGTACTGGCTGAAAACCAAGTGGGCCCAATGAGTCAGCAAGCTTTTAACAAATAGGTACCGGAATCATTATGCATGGCCCCCACTTGAGGAAAAAAGGAAATTTGACACGTCACGTCAGCCATCCACTTGTCCGTTGATTATAATCTTTAACGGTGATTGATGAAAAGTGTTGGGCCCTACATCCACCGGCCTATCACAGCCCCCTCCCCCTCCCTAACTTTACTTATTCCAAATTTATCTTGCTTCCAATTAAAACCAAATCCTAATCTTACAAGTTATTATTTTGAATGAAATTAATAAACTTTTTATTGATTTTATGTTTACATAAATCAAAATTAAAGTTCTATTATATGTTTAATACACGACTGAAATTAAAACATTATTCGTTTGTATTTTATGAATCAGTTAAATAACTCATATGTAAAGTAATTTCATATCTGAACATATAGTTCATATGTATATTACATTCGGTTAACCCGTTTGCCACATATTTGTAAAAGTTAAGAACTACGTCTCTATCTTTTGCACACCCACGTGAGAAAATATCCGATACTTCACGGTCACAAACGCAAATGTTTACCAGATGAAAGGTTTATGATCACTTTTTTACAGTGACGGATCCATGATTTTTTTCCTAGTGTGGGCATCTTTAAGGTAGATTAAATGCCCGCAAATTCATCCGATGTGTTTTTAGTCCAATTCCAGGTTTCAGGAGATCTTTAAAAAAAAATTTGTTGATTTCAAAAGATTTTTAAAGTTTTTTTATTGATCTCAAAGAATTTTTTAAGTGTTTTTTTATCGATTTTTATTTTATTGATTTCATAGTTTTCTTTTTTGTTTTTTTTATTTCGAAATAATTTTTTTGATAGATGGGGTCCTAGTGAGAAATTACTGGAGAACCATGGTCAAAAGTTAAAAATATAGTTTTCGAAAAAAAAAATCCTTTTTTATTGTTTAATGGGGGCCCTTCCCCCCACATTTTATATGACAGTGTTTCGGATGCATTCTTTACTTTTTAAATATTTATTATTTTTTAAATAAATTTTTCTTTTTCTCTCTCTCTCTCTCTCTCTCTATATATATATATAATTACTCTAGAAATTTTCAGTAATTATTGATTTATATACATGTATATAGAAAGGTTCGTGTGATAGTAGTAAATAATTTAAGAACCAAGAAACTAATTTTGTAGTATTATACGTTGATAAATACACACTTTAAAATTTTAATTAAAATAAGTATATTCAATTCTATATATACTTGTACTTGTAATTGATGAATATAGAATATATTTATTTGTATTTATATCTGTATCATTTTAATAAATATATTCAACAATGAATATTCACTAAAAATTGATTTATTTATTTTTAAAATATTCATATTATTTTTCAATAAATTAAAATATTCATATTATTTTTCAGCAAACTTATATTGTTAATAAGTATACTCAACAATGAATATTCATTTTATATCTTTTTTCAACAAACTTGTATTAAACATTGTAAAAATATTAACACTGATCATGATCTATAAAATAAAAAAGAGCATTTTTATTACAGATCATAGTTCTTTCGCCTTGAATTTGTATACACACTTTGTCTTTGTGTTGTTTACTTTTAACTAATCTTATTTCTTTTCAGTTTTCGACATATATTCCCATTTGATATCAATTTCTTTTCCTTTTTCGTATTATAACACTCCAGACCAACCGTACATAATATTGACTGTTTTATCCACACTTAAACTCACGGTTTTAAAACGTGTTTGACAGAGGAAGTATCAAGTTATATTAGGTTCCCAGCTCTGATGCCATTTGTAACACTCTAGACCAACAGTACCAAATATTGTTCATTTTATCTACACCTAGACTCACGATTTTAAAACGAGTATGATAGAAGAGGTATCTAGTGTCTTATAAGGCATCATTCATTTCCTTCCCCAATTGATGTGGGATGTTACATTTTTTTTTTCTTTCTTGCACAGTACAGAAACAACTAATCTATTTATTATCAATTCCAGCTCCGGTCCCACCGCATATATAAAATAAAAGAAATGTTGTATGTAAAAAGAGAATGATGTATGGGAGGTGGAGGTGTATATATAGGTCTCAAACTCCTTCCATATCCCCTCACATCATTCTTTAAAACATATACCTTACTTCCCTTCTTTCCCTCTCCATCCCCTTCCTAATGGCCACAGTTGAGGTAATTTCAATCTCTTTTCGCATTATATATATATATATGTATATATATATAAATATATATATATATATATATATATATATTGTTTAACATAATCTTCCAAGGAAGAAAAGAAAAGAAAAGATGCATGCATGGTAATAGTAATGGAATCTTTTGTTTACATATTCATCATTTTTCTAAATTTAACATTTTTATTTCGTGTCTTATTCATATATAACACTTTTGGGATCGCTTCTTAATTTGTTAGCGAACCGATTGAAATGTCTAATTAAAATGTTAACAACGAATTTGATGGATGATTGATTCAGGTTGAATCAGTCGTGAACACTTTGCCAGAGAATGTTACAAAAGAGGTAGAAACGCCAACAAAAGAGGCAGTAGAGCCGGTAAAGGCAGATCAGGAAGAACCAAAGAAGGAAACCACCGTGGACACTGTTGCTCCACCACCACCACCACCGGCAGAGGAGACTTGTGTTGAACCTCCAGCGGAGGTGGAAACCGAGACCAAGGAAGTGGTGGAGGAAGCAAAGGAAGAGACTCCGGTGGCAGCGGTTGAGGAAACTCCGGCAGCAGCGGAGGTAGTCCCTGAAGAAACTCCGGCGACAGAGGAGGGTGAGAAGAAGGAAGAAAAGGTGGCGGAAGCTGATTGTGCTGCCACCACTGAGGTGGCAGTGGAGTAGTGAAATAATGGAAGTTGGATGTTATATTTTGGGTTGGGATGTGGTTGTGGGCTTGAATATTGAAAAGCCAGAATGGTGAAGTTGATGAGCATCTTCTTTACTTGGAATTTTATGTTTGATTATATATGATTATGAGTGTGATGAAATCTTGTTATTTCTGTGACCTCTTTTATTAATAATATATTTGCTTTTTTTACTATTTATTATTATTATTATTATTATTATTATTATTATTATTATTATTATTATTATTATTATTATTATTATTATTATCATTTCAAAACAAATAACAGACCATCCTTTAAAAAAAACCTAAGATTATTCAACCAAGTTTACTAGATTATTAAAACTTGTATGAAATGAAAACAAAAACTTACAACTTCAAACCTCATACTTTTGCTAGTATAGTCTTGTATTCTATTATTATTTATATCAAAATCAGGTTAAATCATATATTGAAAATGTTAAAAAACAACTCGATGTTGATACGTGACATGAGAAAATTTATAGGTAAGGGTGCATTTAGCCTCCCCTGGCCTAAAAGCACGTCAACATGTAGAGTTCATTTTCACATTTTCAATGTTGATATAAACAGGGGTGCATATAGCAACACCTGCCTAGCCTACCCCATTCTTCTATAAACACCCTAACTTTTATACCTGATTACCAACAAGAGGGTATGCCAGCCTACCACCTCTGCTAAAGGTGGAGATCATCGAGTGCGTTTGGTATGACACTCGACTAAACAAAAACCTATTCTCCCACATTCGGTCCGACATTAGACTGGCACAAAAACATGACTGGGTGGGACAAAAATACCAAAACAGATAGAAAAAGAATCAGGGAGATGATACAAGATTGGTAAATTACTAAACAGCCCATGTCATATTAAAATCCTAAAACCTCACCATCTCCCATCTAGTTTGCATACCAAACGAAGCCAAGAATCGGTTCTAGTAAACAAGTAAAGATGAATATGATGGAAAGAAAAGCAGCTTCTTTATTTATAATATATACCTATATATAAATATAAACAGTTGGGACTACTAAAGCAGAAGCATGATGCAAGTCTAAATAGAAAATTTCATCATAATTTACCCTCTATATATTCTGTACAGACTCAGTACAACTGACCTCACTTTTTAACATGTGCAATGGCAAAATTCCATATTTTCTCTTTCCCTTTTCTTTCACCATGTTCCAAAGCTGCATCCAACATGCTCCTGAGTAATGACATTTAACCGTTCTTGCATCACGTCCATCGATGGGTACGCCGGAAAACATATCCGGTAGAAGCATGTGTGGGAAGAAGGCAGACGGTCTAAGGATTCATTGGATTTGTAAATGTATAGCCTTGAAGATAATCCCCGGAAACCTTCTACCGGTAGATACTTCACTGACGTCCAAAAGAAGAGAAGAATCTTCCGTTGCTCGGTTGTCATTCCATGCACAATCTGCTTCCAATTCAGGGAAGAGAGAGATGTAAAACATGCCATAAACCATAATAACTATTCAAAGACAAACGAATTCTGAGTCCATTGTGAGGACGGTCATATAGGTTTCACTATCTTGATTAGAAGTGACATCCGCTTGGTCGATTAATTATTTGTTATCGATATACTCCCTCCGTCTCTGAATAAATGTCCACAATGAAAAAAGGCATACAGTTCTAGAAACGTGTAATTATTACACTTTTAATTAAACCAAGGACCTGGTTGTTAGCAGCTTAATGAGCTTTATGGGACTCGCAGCTTATTCGTTCAGCTATAGACGATTGTTTGGTAGTGGCTTAATGATATAGAAATGTCTTATTTAGTAGCTTCCTTTGGGGGGGGGGNGGGGGGGGGGAGCTTTATGCAGAAAACCAAGTTTTTTCCAAACCTGTCCCTCCCAATTAAAAAACACGTCCCAATTTATAATCCACAAGTTCTATGGACTTGATGAAAAACCAACCAAACAACCCCTAAATGACAACTTTACCCTTGATGATAGAGGGAGTAACTAATTTCTCCATGTCACAATTAAGGGTAGAATTGGAAAGTAGCCCTAACGAATGTGATTGACAGATTTCAGTTGTAGTAGATAGCAAAACTGTAACCTAGGATTGGGAACTGAAGAGCTTCCACCAACAAGAATTTGAAACTTGAAAACCAAAACAGAATGTGATTTGTAAAGTAATGTTTGTATCAATAAGCAATGTGCAAATGCCAAAACATAAAATCCCAAACAGCGGAATACCAAACACAGGCAAGATGTCTTCTATCTAATACTCATCGAGTTGCAAAAAGTATTCCCAATTTGCTATACTTATAGTATGGGATTATTGATCTGCATCCTATAAAGGGACTTGGTCAAGATTCCTGCAACCTAATCGCATTGTCGTAATTCTTCGTTGGTTTGCTGGAAAAACATTTAAGCAAAAAAAAAAAAAAGAACTTTCATCCATAGTAAAAAGCATATTTTTTTATTAATTCTAAGAAAGGTGAGGTTCAATTTGGGATGCTAAAAGGAGGGAAGCAAGACAATATATCTGGAAGACAGAACGATGCTAGTTACTAAAAAACAACAAACATATATTTGTCATGAAAGAGTAGATGTTTTAGAGATTAGGAAGAAAGTGTAATCTTTATCGGACAAGTACCAGACTTTAAGGGCCCAAAGGTGTCTACAATTCCCATTTTATGTGTTAACAATTACATAAATATACAAGAGCCAGAAACCAGAGTACCGAAATTCACATAAGATTCCAATGATGCTTTGCAGCATAAGTATTGTCCTGATGTTAACCATAATGGTAAAAGATAAACAATATAGTTGGTTGACTTTAATCACAGGCTAATGAATCCCAAAATATCAGAAGGGCTGGTTTCGGGGCAATACTCACTTCCTTGCGAAAGCAAGAAAATAAAGAAATTGAGCACGAATTAGAAAGAATTGAGATCCTGCAAATACATACCTTCCAGAACCAGTATATCTGAGGATCGGTCTCTTTATAACCATTATATTCCGTATGGGCCTTCCAATCATCCACAGAAATAGCACTTTCACTCCCATGCAACATTCCGTCAAGATCTTCAAGCTCTAAGCTCTTGAAACATAACTTCTGGATTTCTTCATCAGTAACAATATCTGCAAATCCTCGAGCAAAATGTGTTACCTGTTGGGAAATAGATGTCACGAAGCGATGTCTAATGAGAAGATCAACATACTCCTTCCTATTTCTGCTATTCACAGTAATGTGTTTTCCATCAGGGAGAAGCTCCAAAACTTTCATGGATCCTAATTCTTCACTCTCCCAAACAAAGGTTAGACCAAGAGCATCTTGATCCACTGCAGAAGGATCCATATCCAATATCTGCTTGCAGCTGCTATACAAGTATGGATCTGCATCCTTTATATCTTCCAAAGAGACATTAATTCCAGCCAATTGCAAAAAGAAAGCCCGATCAAATACAATGCCAACTTGCATTTTATGCATCAAAGCTAGGGCAATTACCCTGCCTGCAAAGCTAAAATATTCAAGGTGCATCGGGTCGACCTTAGATGCTGCAAAGATGAAACATACCAAGAATTATTCAATATTGTACATATACCTAAGTCGTAACAAGATTTCAAAGCCACCAACAAAATTGTGATATGAAAAGCAGATATGATTGGAATATGCATTACAGAAACAACAGGTCAAAAATATGTGTTCAACAGCATCACGTTCATTGTTATTGGAGATCGTTGATATTTTACCATTACATGTGCTATCAGCTATGATGTCGGTATTTCCAAGAAGCAGGAAAATTCTAGGTCACATAATTTCAGATAGGTTCAAGGCAAGGCTGCATAATCAATGTATGGTGTAATCAGTTCCTCAATTGAAATCTGTTTAGCTTCGAGTGTCGATATAAGCCGTTTCACAACAAAACAATGGAGTCGTAACTTATTCCCCAAAATCTAAAACAGCTACAAAGACTTACCTATACTCGGTTACAATTCTATTCAGATATGACCAACTATTGAAAAACAGAATGTACAAATTACTTCTGATTGCAACACATTTTTCAATTACTTTGTAAGATATGCCTAGAGTTTGGAAGAGATACTCCACTGCCACCGTGAAATAGGAGATTCGTCCCTGATATTTCACATGATAGTTTCCAGAGTTTATGAACTGAAGTTCTAGTTCACCAGCTTATAATGAAGGATTGATAGGTTTACGCCAAAAGCATGCTTCAAAACTTAAGAACGATATGGTAAACATTAGCAACAGACTTCCATCTGCTGAATAAGAAATATCAATAATGGCAACCGGTAGAAGGTGAGCCCCCTCCATTTGCTGAATAAAAGAATATATCAATAATGGCCAGCATAAGTGAGTCCCCTCCATTGCCTAACCAGCCTCTCCACATCGCCAACGAAGCCAAGGTGTTTGACGATGAAACGATGGACTTCTTAAGTTCGGATTGGGCTTGCGCCAAATTGCAATCACTCTTCTTTACTTCATTTTTTCCTTCCTGAGCTTCTAACCAAATTGCAGCCCCTGGTCCCTTCCGCATTCTCGGTTCCCGTTCTCCGCAAGTCAATGAACCCGCCGGGTCGGTCACCGTCTCTTGTTCAAAAATCACAACCTTATGCCTCCAATTCCTTTTCCAACTCTTGAGCCACCAACACATTTACCACCTTGAATATATTTTCAGTAGCACCGCTAATCCTTGAGCATGACACTGTTGTAACTCAGTATCCTACAGCCCCAAACCCCACCCAGCTGTCCCAAGCCACTTTCCATTGCTTTCCCTTCATTTATACTCCCAATAGACTTTTTATTTCCAAACCCACTAAGCATTTTTTCCAATAGACATTTTATTTCCCACAAGTGTTAAGAGTTAAGACACTTTGTAGAAAGAAGAGTAATAGACACCACAAGAGTTGATGAAGTTTATGGAGGGGAGTATCAATTAGATGCAAGCAGTAGGCGGAGCATTAAAGGAAGTTTAAGTAGTAATGAGGCAGCTGGAGTCACAATAAAGGCTGAAGTACAGTATTAATTGCACAAGAAATCCAAGTTGTCATTAAAATAAACAACCAAACAGATGTCAATTTTGCAATAATTGCAAAAAGATATGAATAGTTCACTCCATGGTTTGGTATAGGCCATAATGACAAGACATGCTTTTATGCAAACAACGAGCCATCTAGATTGATCTTAACAATGAACACACACTTGTATTTGATATCCCGTTTCCCTAAATGCAAATCCACCAATTCTCAAGTACCATTGTCATCTAAAACAATCATCTTCTCTATCATGGCATTATGCCAACCAGGATGAGATATGGCTTCACAAAATGTTTAGGAGTAAAGATAGAATCAAGGGAAGAAATAGAAGAGAAGGAAAATGACAAGCCATTATATGAAACAAATGAAAAAACAAGACAAGTACATAGACGCTTACCTTTATGCACTGCAAAAGAAACATTGCTAGACTGTATTTACTGACGAAGTAGCGAGTATGATGTGGACACCTACAGTAAACTTGAGTAATAGAAGGCGTGGAAGGAACGGGTTCAGAGACAGGTGTGGAGAATGTGATAAAATAGACCAACAAACATTATCCTTCTCCTGGCAAGCAAAAATGGGGGAGGACGGAAAGTAAGGTGTGCCCTACATGAAGGTAACATCAATTGAGACAAAATACAGAGAATGTGACTAAAGACGTCCTATAAAGCAGAGAGCTCAAAGCAAGAGAGAATTTATGACCTAGTTGATTCAGAATCAGGAGAGGGAGTCTAGAAAGCTCATAATAACCGTATTCTCCCATTGGCTTTGTTGAACTTTCACATCAGGACCAAAGGGCAACAAATAAACAATATATTAAGTTCCTCTAGTTTCTTCTTGAACCACGAGTAGAATATACAGGGTTCGTTTCATTTGGTTTTGTTTGTCTTCTTAAATCCCATTAAATAGTTTATAAGATGGCAGTCCTGTTTTTCCACACGATTGGAAGCTTTGCAAACCTCATACAACTATACAAGCAAGAGAGATTCCATGGGTTCCTTAAAAAATTGACAATGATTGATCAAGGCAATTACCTCACTGTCGATAGAGTTTTGAATCTGAAGAAACAAACGAGCATCCTCTCTGAGCCATGTCAGATTGTCCTGCTTCAAACAGCTACAGGAGGATTATCAATCAAATGGGCATCTTTCTTGATGCTTCGAGAATAAAGACAAATAGTCTTTAGTCTTTACTCCACTCCAAACAGTTTGATTTAGCATTTGCTATGTGATTTTAGACAATATCAACGGTGGTGGTTTCAATAGATCCTGATAAGGGCAACGTCAGAGGTCCGTGGCGGTTTCATTTCGCTATGATATTTAATTGCCACCAGCCTTTTCATAATAGCTTTGATACCAAGTAAACTTAAATTTTCTGTATTTTTATGATGAGAAGAGATGTACAAATATATACACAACTAGAAAAATTAAGAAAACTATACCAATGTCAACTCAGAAGATGAACCCTAGTTGCCCATGCTAATTAGAGATGTTATTGGGTTATCCCCCTACTCTTCACAAATACCTTGTCTCAATTGATGTTACCTTCATGGAAGACACCTTACTTTCCATCCTCGGCCATTTTTGCTTGCTAGGAAGGAGGAGGATTTGTTGGTCTATTCTATCACACCCTCCACTCCTCTCCAAGAACCCGCTCCTTCCAAGCCTCCAACATATAAATAACTCCAGCTCATCTCGTAACATGTACACTTGATGACTTGACATTAGAGTGATTAGGAGTTCATCTGACATCAGTTTGACGGAAACAAGCTACGCTCATACATCATTATAAAATTCCTACTTCCTCTTTTTTTATTTCTCCTTTTTCTAACACTAGTAAGACAAGCATGAATAACATTGTAACCAACTCACCTCTGTATACGCACAGAGTGCTCAAGTACCCTTGCAAAAATAATCCACCAAAGGTAATACATTTCTATATTATAAGGCCCAAAGCAACATATATAACATCAGATACCTAAAGTGCAGCCTTCATTGCTCTAAGGCCTCCTATTTGCAATGCTATTAACAACCAAGGTGTAGAAACAACCACTTCAAAGAATATAAATGCTTCGCATAGCCAGTGCTATAAAGGCCCCCTATTTGCAATGCTAAGATATATTTATGCTCAAACATGTGTATTAATTTAATCGATCTATCTAGTCCAAACCTAAACCTTACTCTTCTCTATCACAAATTTATAATAAAAAAATATTCACTTGCCTCAACTCCACTTAAGCAATAAGAATTGCAACATGTTAAAATTTATAGCCATAAAGAGAAGAAAGGTACACATTTTTGTCGAGAGATAGAAAACATGAAGCAATGCGGAGCTTACCGGGATTAGGAAAGAATCTTCTTCGATCATTGGGGCAAGGGACAAATAGGGCGTTTTGAGGATTAAAGATAGCTTGGCATACCAAGAAAAACCATTCCCGTAGAACACCAGGCCCAGTAGCTTCCTCATTTTTAAACTCCATGAATAATCCACCTCGCAGTGTCTCAGGGTCTGCATGTGCAATATACTCAAAAGATTCAGCCAACAATTGTGATCTGTCTATAAGCATCTCATGGAGCTCCTCATACTCATCCTTCACCTCTGGAAGCAACATCATAACCAAATGCCTCCTAGATTCAAAGTCGGTGAGATCCTTGTGCTCAAGAATCCATTTATAATCCTCACCTCTCTTGGCATATCTAACAATTAGATAACACAAAGAAACCTTGTTACGCCTTAGATTCGTCCAAAAGTATTCCTCTGCACCTTGATATAGTTCAGCAATATTATGCAACTCCTTCAAGATAGAAAGATATTGATCCCATCCACCATCTCCTTTCTCTTTCTTCACCAAGTCCTCCACTTTATTAAGACACAATTGCAGTTTTGCCAACAAATCATGATAGAGCATGTAAAGAAATTTGACCTCGTCACTGTAACAAAGGAGGTTGTGGTTGTATGGCATTGGTATGAGAGTCCCAAGAGCCACCTGGTCGATGATTGCATCCCTTAGAGGTCGCACAAAAGCGGCAAAGTCACGGACATCGCTAGGCGAAGGGCCATAATTCACAATAGACTCCATACTTGAAACCAAACCCTCCGACAATTTACTTGCAAGCTCATCAACAAACGGAAAAATCTCTTGGACTGCAATGACCACCTTCTTATAACTACCCACATCATAATTCTTTGAACTCCTACCAATCTTAACGAACTCCACCATTGATCCTAGGCTACTTCGACATAATCTATATAAAGGATCATCATGGGCAGCAACTCTACCAAGCAATTTACAAAATTCTAACACTATAGGTGCAAATTCTGAATATATAGGTCTTGGTAACGCATTCCTACTGGATTTAATAAAATGTTGAATGGCCTCTTCTGCACATTCTTTGTTACCGTTATGAGGTGACATGTAAAGCATCACCAGAGCTGCCGGAGCAGATGAGGAAAGAAATATATTCAGGTAAGGTGCAGCATGATCGATCCCGTCCTTGGGAGTCTTGTTTAAGAATTCGATCAACCTGGATTTGATAGACTTAGGGCAAGCTCCTCTTTCGCCTTTACACAACCTGCATATGATAGAAACTAAATCATCAATGACTTGCCAGGCTTGCGGATGAACGGTGCTCCGCATTCGACCAACCAAATGCAATCCAGCGTCGTTGGTGATCCTACAGTGAGACAAGCTATGCTCCCACTGAAGCTGCTTCCCGCCATAAATCAACCTTTGTTCCATGACGGGAATTCCGGTGGCGGAGTGAATCATCTCGTGGATGGTTTTGATTTTATCGTCAGGGTTTCCATGGAGGACTAGGGTTTTACCCTCAGAGATCATGCGAACGAAGAATTGGATACGATCGGGGAGGGATAAGACATTTTGGTGGGAACTGGTAGAAGCCCTAGGTTGGAAGTGAGAGCGATGAGTGGTAAATTGATGAGGGAAGGAGGTGGTGGAGGAAGGGGGATCGTCTTTTCTCATCCTGACGGAGACTAAGTCGGAGGAGGGGAGGTCATCGTCGACGTAATCTTCGAGCTTCCGCTTGATGCGTTGTTGAACGCAATCGATGGTCGGAGAATCTAGGAGAGTCATTGACGACGGCGACGAGAAGCGTCTACGGCCGGTTGGAGTCCATAGAAACAAAAACCCAGATGAATATATGTGTGTGTGTGTGTATATGTATGAAATTGTGTGAAACCCAACTGGGTTTTAGGCTTTCGGTAGAGAGAGTGATGGAGAAGACGAGAGAGATAGAAAGAGAGTCTTGACCCGTTTTCTTTCTGCATGGGGCTTAAATGGGTGTGGAAGACACGTGACGGGTGGGTTTGATGCCGGATATGAGGTATACTTTGGTCCGACCCGTATATATAATATATATTCATGCCTGTTTCCGAACTTAAGTCGATAAATTTTTTTAGTATATAATATTGTAAATGCAACAAATAAACTCATATATTTTTTTTATATATGATAAAGTTTGAATCTCTGATTTCTAAATAATACAAAGACTACGATACTGTTAAGCCAAAGACTCTTTGATTTTAAGTCGATGAGTTTGATTTTACAGTTCTACGAATCACGAGTTTGTAAATTTACATATTGTATTGCAATTTAAAAAGTTAGCAAAGGTAAAAGAAGGTAAGCTTAAAATTATGTTCAAGAATCATATAATAACATTTTCTAGAATACGGATACGGAGTCAAATGTTGTAACAAATTGGAGAATATTTAAAAATTAAATGGAGTAAGAGAGATAAGGACTGTTTTTAATTTTCCATTAAAAAACTCCTTGGTAATGTCAATAAAAGAAGAAATTGCATTTTTGATCCTTGTGTTTTGTCGATTTTTTTAGATTAGGTCCTTACAGTTTTTTTATTGCAACAAAATCTTTGTGATATACAAAAAAATGATTGGTTTTGTTTGCTCCAACTAAAGACTGTTAATTTTATTAGTTAACGTTGGTGGGTTTTTAGTTATTCTTTTTCATGTTTTTCTTAAAGAAAATAAAATGATAGTGGTCGATGATTTTTTGATTCACGATGGACCGAACAATGGTGGTTCTCGGTTTGGCCGACAAAATTGAGAGAAGGATGAAACAGATGTGTTACCAGATTTTTTAAGGATGTTAATGAGAAGGAGCAAAACCAAGCATTAATATATATGACAAGAATTATTTTGCAAAAAAAAGAATTGTAATATTTTAATCCAAGAAAATTGATAAAAGTACAAGTACCCAAAAATGCAATTTACTCCCCAGAGGAAGATAAAGAAACAACTTTTTCAATGTTATTGAATATTTTAATAATGTAAAGACATCGACAAACATTAACTATTTTATCAAAAAATATAAGGCCATCTAAAAGTTGTTTTCTTGTGTATTTGAGTATACGTTGGTATATTACTTTAGGGGTTATCATATGATTGATGTTGAAATATTGTTAGAACTGAATGTAAATTTTTTTCTCTTAAGATTTATAGAAATAAGAATGTGATTGAGTGTAAAAACTTAATTGTATTATTACTTGTAGGGGGATGTGTGTGTGTGTATACATCTTGAGTAAATCGTAACCTACAAAACTAAATCATAAGTTACAATTAAATGATTATGAGAGAATATTTAATTAATGTAGGATTGATTGTGAGTATCTCTATCATACCCCCGCAAGATGGACAATCGAATAGTGAGACCAATCTTGGACATGAGTTCGTTGAACTGTGTTCTTGCAAGTGGCTTAATAAGAGCATCAGCTAGTTGATCCTTGCTAGAAATATATGAAACACGCAGCTTTCGACTTTGGACATTCTCACGAACAAAATGATAGTCAAGAGCTAGGTGCTTCATTTTTGAGTGAAACTGGCGGCAATATATGTAGCTCTTGTATTAACACAATATATTACTGGTGCTATGATGGGCATATGGCATAGCTCATGAAGTAAGTTTTGGACCCATAATTGCGCTGTCGTAGTTGCAGCAACAACTCGGTATTTGGCTTCTGTCGACGAACAAGCAAAAGTGTGTTGCTTACGTGAACTCCAAGAAATTGGATTTTGACCCAAGTGAACAATGTAGTTGGTCGTTGAAATGTAGTCATCTTTATCACCGACCCAATAATCATTTGTGAAGGCATGTAGAGCACTGGGAGAATCATGTAGATGTGCCCACAAGGTAGCGTAAGAGTCATTTGAGAGCCGCCCAATGTTCTTCGTCGACTTGTGCATGTATTGAGATAACTTGTTCACAGCAAAAAGAAACATCTAGTTTGGTTAGAGATAAGTATTATAGACTTCCCATAATTGTCATGTATTCGGTTGGGTTGCCCAAAGGGGTTCCGTTATGTAGTGTTGGGGTAGGATGAAAAGCCATGGGAGTAGGAACAGGTTTGATAGCTGCCATGTAAGTGCATGTGAGGAGGTCTTGTATGTATTTCTGTTGGCTAAGAAAAATGCCATGAGAATGAGGTAAGACTTCCACACCAAGAAAATAAGAATACCAGGATATTTAAGTGAGAAACGACTAGAGAGTTGAGAAATAAAGGAGTTTAGAAGAGTGAAAATTGATCCGGTGATGATGATATCATCAATATAAAACTACGCAATTTAAATTAGTTGGGTATGTGACCATGAAGTTTATGATAGGGAGATTGAAGATTAAGTGTAGGAGTTGGCATATGATTTATGAGGTAATAAACAGTAGCAAAAGCTAGAGAACAAAATTTATGTGGCATAAAAGAATGAGTAAGAAGAGAAAGACCAGTTTTAACAATGTGAGGATGACGCCGCTCCGAGTAGCCATTGTGCTCGAGCGTATGCGACGGGGAAGTTAGGTGAGTGATGTCATGAGATTCAACAGTAGGATGTAAACCAATATATTCACCACTATTATCACTAAAGATAGTAACAATAATTCGTTTGAAGAAATTTCCAACTTTGAGTTTGAATTTAATAAAAATGGCAGTGGTCTCATTTTTGTGTTTGAGTGGATAAAACCACACATATTTGGAATAATGGTCAACAAATATTATGTAGTATTTGTAGCTAACATAAGATACGGTGGGGGACGTCCAAACATCATTGTAAAGAATATCAAGAGGGTTCGTGGATTGTAAGGTGTTTTGAGAGAACGGTAATCTAAGACTTTTGTTGCAATCACAAGAATTGCAATGAAAAGCAACAGACTTAGAAATATCCAAATTGAAAGATGTAACACCCCAAGATCACATTTGTATATAAACATATATTTCCAAATTTCAAGAAATATAATTTATACAACTGGTCCCACTATTTACAAAGGCTATATTACAAAATAGCTACCAAATTTTTTCACAAAATCCCTATACAAAACCTGTATACATAAAAAGTCTTTAAAAACAAAAGTCAACATGTTATCCTCAATATCTCATGTAAGCATATATAAACTCCTCACAACTTTCACTTCCACTTATCTTCTGGTTATGCTCGACTTGTAATGCATATTTTCAAAACACCAAAATGAGGGTTAGACCTTGAGGTCTAATGAGAAATCTATCTGTTTGCTATTACAGGGTGAATAATCACCAAAGCACATTTATGAACTCGTATTTATATCAATAACAAATATACAATATTTTGATAAAACAGACCTCTTTTGTCGCATCAAAATGATCAAACAACTCATTTAACACATTCTGGTGAAACTCATCGCATCATATAGATGAATACATAATTTCCTCGCATCACATGGGTGAGACAACCTCATCTCCTCGCATCACACTGGTGCGAAGACCCATCTCATCGCATCACATAGGTACGATAAACCAATTTGTCGCATCAATAAGATGCAATAAGTTCGCTCCTCGCAACAATAGGATGCGATAAGTTCACTTCTCGCATCACACAGATGCAACAACTTCAAGTCATGCATCTCAAGGGTGCGACAAACATATAACACTTTGATCAAAACCCATATTTTACATTTTGTTTGATTATGTCATCTTTATCCTGGTATACATCTCTCATTGATATGTCACCCTTATCCCAAAATATATCTTTTTCTTGATATGTCACCATTATAACCAAATTACACTTCTCCTTGATGTGTCACCCTGATTCCAAACACTTGATAAAATTATATCAAAATATCAATTATCAAGATGATTTTATAACAACCCCATATAAAGAACCATACAGTTCTAACCTCAATACCATAAAAAGAAATTTGTAGAATAACTCACCTTATCAATCATAGGTGAAGAAGGTATAAAGATGAACAACAACAAGTAATCCAAGACAATAATCACATAGATTGTTTCTACTTGCTTCTTCTTTCCGATTATGTTTTTCCTTCGAGCTCAAAAGTACACACAGACAGGAAGCTCACATTTCTTTTTTACTTTTTCCCCACAATCCCAATGATATAAAACTCAAATATCTCATAACTAACAATTAAATATAAGAGGCGGTGGGAGGGCTTTATAAAGCATTCAAGCATAGTAACACAACACACCCCTCAATCTTCCACCTTAATTAAAAAACAACCCCGATCATTATCACAAAAGAGTTGCTAATATGACATAAAATAGAATAATAGATATGGCCCAATCGATGATGCCAATCAGTAGTGGATGCTATTTTGACAGAGTGAATGGTGGGACGAGTGGGTTGCCATTCATAAATTCCCGATTTAGTTGGGCCTTGGAAAAGGGGTGCCTTGGTGTGAAGATCCTTCACAAGATATGAAGTAGGTGAGAATGTAATTGATGCATTATTATCTTGGCAAAATTTAAACATTGAGATAATATTACGAGAAATATAAGGTACATGTAATATATTATTAAGGTGAAGTTTAGAAGTGGGAGTAAGAAGAGATGTTGAACCGATGTTTGAGATGGCTAGGTTCGAACCATCGTCAATAATAAGTTCCTCCCTACCATTGTAAGGGGAGTGAAGTGCAAGGTTGAAAAAACCATGAGTGACATGGTATGTCGCACCACTATCAAGAAGCCAACTATTGGATGAAGTTTCTGAGGGAGCAATGACATAGGCATGTGGAAAAGAAGAAGAGATTGGAGGATAAGAGGAGGGTGATGGTGGAATTGCATTTGGGAATTGAGTACGAAAGATAGGGCATTGCAAGACACAATGTCCAGTTACACAAACACCAATGACAACGACCCTTGAATGGTTGGACGGGA